CAATTGTTACTTTCCAGAATGATTTGCCTGCTATTTTAACAGTACTGCTGTTCCTCCACAGTGTACAGAAGCGTGTGCACCATACTTAAATATAGGATTTTTCTGAGCCTCTCTCCATGACTGTTAAAAAAGAGCATTATGTCTGTTTTGCATTGGGAGGAACCCCCTGATTAATTTCTTATAAAATAAAGAATTAGGCTGCAAACTAAATCAGTAGGAAGGTTGGCATTTTACAAATAGACATCACAATAAACTGGTAAGAATGACTATTGCATATGATAAAACTCTGTACAAAAAAAATTGTCCTTGCTCTTTGGAGCTTTCTTGTCTAACACACTTTCCTTTTATATTTAGCTTTACTTGCTTTAGAGCCAGGTGATCATTTTCTGAGCTAAATTCCTTTTGGGTACCAGCAGACCCAGAAAAGAAAGGTGCTAGTCACCTGTAATATTATCACAAAAGAGAAACAAACTGTTCAGTTTCCTCCTGCACTGCTGACCTGACCATATCTGATAGTATTCTTGTCAACACCGCACATGATCTTGCAAGTTAAGTGGTCTAATTTCATAAGGAAAAAAATGCTACAACCATTTTACAAGCTTTTTGAGCTCAAGACAAAAAAGTCTGTTTGTCTCTAAATTAATCAAGAGCCTTCCCAGAATCTCTTCAGACTCGTGGCTAGTTCTCTGCTAACTCTTTCAGTGCCACAAGTACCAGCTGTATAAGGTAGTCCCATACCACCCTAAGAGCTGGATGCATGCTAGCATTTAATTCATTGAAATTAAGATGTGGCCCCTAAAGCTAACACAAGCAATTTCAATTCAACAACACCCTTGTCCTCAGTGCACATGTCAAAAGCCTGAAAACCTCTGCAATGCAGAACGTTAACTAACCTATTTATTATTTCATTATACAACACATCACATTTGTAATTAGCATTGGTTCAGTTTAATAGCATATACTTAAGGATACCTAGCTCTTATATAATGCTTTGTAGCTCTTAAAGTGCTTTACAAAGGAGCAAAGTAACATCATCTTCATTTTACAGAAGGGGAAACTGAGGCACCCCTGAAATGCCACCAGCAAATCAATGGCACAACCAGGACTTGAACCCCAATCTTCTGAGTTCCAGTCCAGTGCTCCATCCTACAGGCCACAGTTCCACCTGTATAAAGATATATACATAGTTGATCTGATTATCGTAAAGTTGTATGAGTTGCTGAATTCGAATGGAGCATGTTCGAGAGTGTATTAGTGTTGCGATGATAGTGGACTAATGCTTGGAGACTATAGTATTGTGTTGGGTACAGTTGTTGCCTTATCTCCTGATTTTGTCGCTTTTTAGTGTTTTTGTTATGAGGAAATGTGCTTGAACAACCTTACATTAAATTAACAGTATGGGAATAATAGTGAGTCTGTGCCTTAGTATTTCACAGCATAGAATGGGGTTGGAGATAGAGAAGAAGTGTGAAATGACCCAGCCAGAATAATTACTGAAATAGACCCTGTATCATGCTCACTATATCAATGCATCTTTTTCTAGACAAAGAGCAACAATACCATATGGAGATTATCAGATTTTTAGGCAATCAAAGAACACATGACCTGAGTGCAAAAGTTTGTTGGAGGAAGGGCTTTGCAATGGGAAGTTAGGCACTAGGGTGCCAAATATTGGAAAAATTTACATAAGAATCACCCAGTTAACAGTCCATGGAAAAATACTGGTGTTAGACTCAGATGAGTCAGTCACCGGGCCTCCGACATTCACAATGATCGAGAAGTGAGACGCGGACTAGGATTTCAAGAGGAGAAACAGTACTCCTAAAGAAGGAAGTGATAGGGAATCCTCATGCATTCATAGAGTTGCCAACTCTGACTGAAGCTATTCTGGGAGATCTCCCCCCGCCCCACACACGACGTAATGTCATTTTCTTAAAATATTCTATTAAAATCTCCTGGATTGCTTTCAATAGTTACCAGGAGATCAATACCAATTCCAGGAGACTCCAGGCCAATCCTGGAGGATTGGCAACCCTATGCATTCACTCTATATAGGATGGCCTTTACGAAGAGAGACAGTCCACGGTTGGTTTCAGAAGGATTAATATTACTGCCAGCAAATCTCCACCTGAGTTTTGATTAATTTAATCTTGTTTGCTTATTGCAAAGTGAAATTCCATTTTTAATTAAAATTCATAGTTTCCTAGAAGAGATAAGAGGTGCTGATGTGATCCTGCTACATACCAGAGCAACAGGCACTATGAGAGATGAGAGCTTCGAGTTCCTCTTGGCACCTCCATTTTGGACAGTGTATAGCAGGGGATCTGCTTGTGTCCCTAATGGACCAATCCAAAGCCCACGGAAGTCAACGAGAGTCTTTCCACTGACTTCAGAGGACTTTGAATCATGTCCCAAAAGCATATCAGGGACGGAGTTAGTAACAAACATAGGAGTTTAAAATACGATGAAAATAGATCAAGGAAAAAGATAGCTCTCCAGAACAAGAGGAATGCAAAAAACTGCAATTAGCTGGGGACATTAGACAATATTAATATACAGTTACTGCAATTAAATGTATTAATATTACTCATTTTTATACATTTTAATGCTGTGTATTTTGTTACCAACAGAAATTACAATTATCCTTTGGGTAATTTCCTTTTTCCTTAAAAAAACAAAACAAAAAAACCTATCAGTGAACCTTAAGTAGTTAATAAATTAATTATTAGATCTAATGAGGTATTCCTATTGTTAATGAGATTTCTTTGTAACACAGTTTGTAATATTTTCTTTAAGTGATACAGGTTACACTTTAAGTGAAACGATGCCCGATTGGCAGCCTTGGAGATTAAGTCCTCTGTTTATCCATAAATCTAGTAAAAAAGTGGGCAGAACAGTATATGTTTACCCACACTATCCAGCTGAGATGCTTCAAATTTGACCTGGAAGGGACCATCTCCGGGAATGAGAGGGTAATTCAGGTACACATTCATGCCCAAATTTCAAAAGTGTCCTCCAGTTTTGTGGCATCCCAGTTTTCCCCTGCCCTCCAGTTTAAATGATTAACTATTGGAACAAACTACCACAGAAAGCAGTGGATTATCCATCTCTTGAAGTCTTCACATTAAGGCTGGATGCCTTTCTGAAAGTTATGCTTTAGCCAAACAAGTGATTGGCTGAACACAGGGGTAACTTGATGAAATTCTGTGGACTGTGTTATACAGGAGGTCTGACCAGATGAGCTAAGGGCCCCTGCTAGCCATGAAGCAGAGCCGTTACAAAGCATTTTAGTCCCTAGGGCGAGTAAGCATATTTGTGCCCCCTAGAGGTGATGCGTGGGAGAGGGGAGGAGTTCCCAGTCACTTTGCACAAAACAGGAAGCTGGAAATTGGTTGCCACTGGCCACAGAGAATTCCCCTGATAGAAGAGAACCCCCTATCATTGCAGATGTGTTGATTCTTAACCCTGTGCCAGTCCCCTCCCACCACAGGGGGCATGTTGAGGGAGGGAGGGAGTGTGTCTGAGGTAGGCAGGATACATAGTTGATCAGTGCTTAGGATCCCTCTTACCAGCTTTAAGTTGCATCAGAGCTGGGGCTTACCCCAATGAGGGAGTTGAACCTAGTTCCCTGACAAGCCCCCACCCATTGCACATCTTCTTTGATAGGCTTCACTCTTCAATTTATATATGTGCATTGGGTACTGCACACACAAATGATCTTTACTAGGGGCACAAAGGAAATGATGGGGTTTGAATAAAACAAACAAACAAACAAAGCAGCATTTTGCACAATTGGCCAATATGGAGCAGTTTTAGCAAGGGCCATTTTTAATCCTTCAAGCAGGGGCACCATTCAGTGCTGAAAAACCACAAAGAAATACAGAAAAGCAAACAAAATATTTAAGGCAAATGAGTAGGAGTAGTTGGATCTAAGAGCAGAGGTGAGTCAGGTCCTTTGGGCAAATGGTTTCATAAATCTTAATTCTGTATGAGGCGTCTAGACACCGCAGTGTTGGGTGCCTTAAACATACAAAAAGGGCCTCTCTGAACATGTTCCTCAAAGAGTTTCTCCTGGAGTTCCCTTCCTAACAGTAAGCATCTATTTGGAAGAGGATAGTAAAAGAGAAATTATTTACATCGAGTATAAAATTCACATCTGAAGGACTGGAATCCACCCATCATAGTACTATTGCCTGACAGGAATGCGGTTAACTGAAGTTGATGCTCTAATGTACCTTTAATAAGGGATCATGAGCTGGCATCTGAAATGCCAGTAGTTACTGAAAAGCCTGTTGGCAGAACAGGTCATTTTTTGACATCCTCTCACTTCTGATACAATGGCAGCCGCCAACTGAGCATTCTGACTCATATAGCTAACATCCTGAAGCAGTACAAGTATTTCTAGGAATAAAAGCTTCCTTTAATCATACAAAATGTGGGTGGCTCCCATACACTAGTTCAAAGATATTTTGGGGGTAACCAGCAGGTGCCCAGATAAGTCAAAATCCCCCCCCCCGGCTTTGGCCAACCACTATTTGTAATCAATTCTTTTAGAAAGAGACAAAGACCAGATAGAGAATGTGGTCCAAATTTTCTAAAGTGTGTGCGCACAACCAGGGTTTTGAGTGTGCAAATCCTCAGTCTGAGCACACACACAACAAACACTGAGTACAAACAAATGTGAGCTCTTGTGACATCTCTGAACTCCTTCCAAGGAAGTTTTCAAACCAGAGTGAACGCTTTATGCCATTTAAATTTGCCTCCTATCATATACATGGGGTAACAGCAACAAGGGAGATAACTGTTAAGAGGCAACACATGAAAGCTGGTGTGTAACACAATTCAAATAGCAATGCAAATGAGTGTTCATTATTAACAAGGAGGGGATCAATTCCTGGCAAGATGTGCACAGGTCCAAGACACTTCTAAATTTGTTCACAAACCCCTGGAGTGAGTCAGACAGTCTCTGTCGCAAGTACTGACAGCGGTAAATCACTCACCTTCATCACTTCTACCTGCAGGTCTTCGTTCAGGGAAGGAGTCACTTTGACGGCATTCAGCATCTGATTTAGTAGCTGCTTCTCATCTGAGCCGGTTTCCACGGATACAAATCTCTCATCAGACAGCAGCTTCTGCAATAAGGCACAAGGTAGTTCAGTCTCAGAGACTGTCGATTCTCCCCTCTCCCCATTATTTAACTCAGTTGTAACCTATTGCGTATTGGTAATCAGAGTACTAGTTGCATACCTGCCCTTCTTTCTCTGAAGGTCTTCAGGACGGGATCTGGGCTTTGCTGATGATGCAACTAACACTTTTGGGTTCATTACTGAATTCTACAATGGCTTTTTTATTTCTTTTCTGGCAGCTCAAATGATCTCAAGAAGGTCATTTCCCAGTGGACTCTCAACATGTCAATTTCTGCAGGCTGCTGGACTTGGCTTTGGTGAAGCCCCCAGCTAATGTCATTTTAGAAGTAACACTTCAACACATGTACAGAGTGGAAAATGAGGCTGGTTTGGAGGCCTAGAGCTACCACTACTTTACCTTTTGCTTAGTGGGAGATAAAGGTTTAGCTATCATCCCACTCTCTCCCTTTGAGCTGCCAAGGGGACAGAAGCACTGTGGAGGTGGCATTGCTAATCACTGGCAGAGAGTGGGAAGAGGCATTTATGTATCTTTCAAGAGATGACTAATCTAAAACATTAACTAAACCCCCGAAGAGAAGGCAGCCTGACCAGTGGGTTGTGCTGGTGGTATGAAATTTGATGTGTATTTGCCGGGGGTAGGGGTTGAGAGGTTGTATAAGGGGAAGATTTGACACGGTCCTACTGATTTTTATGGCCTGATCAGGTTCCCTTTGCTTGGAAAGAAGCCAGTACGTGAGTAATGGAGTGTCACAGTGGGTATTTCTAGACAGCATGACAGAGCTAGAAAAGGTGGCACAAAAGAGCAAATCCAACTTAAAAAAATAATAAAATGGACTTGAACTGAATTTTTATGGGAGCCTGTTTTCAAATCTAAATATTGGCCTTTTTATTATTCTCAAAAAAACAAAACTACTTTCAGCTACATGGGGGTGAAATGCAGAGACACAAAAGGCATGTGCACTACTTAAGTGCTACTTATACTCTCAAAACAAGACCTCATGCTGGCCCTTCGCATAGGGATGAATTGCACCTTAGTGAACAGCAACTTGTATTTAGTAGAATAGCAGTATGAAACGTTCCCTACAAAATTATATTCCTGGCAATAAACATTAATTGCATACTGGTGCAATGTCCATTTTCCCCTCAATGACGCGAAAACATACGCTCTGTTTCCATTTCCCTACCTACAAATGCTTTAGCTCTCTGAAGCCTGCATCTGATTTTCTTGGTACATGCATTGCATGGCTGTTTTCAGTTGTCATTTATAAAACCCCTTCAGTTCACCTAGTGCTACTGAATGTGTGGGGAATTTTGATTTCAATATTTCAGTGGCGGTCCCATACATTTATAACAGAGCCCTCACTACTTATGTCTACATTACGCTTTCCAGCCTCAAAGCAACACTGTCCTCTGAGCTGATCAAAGAGAGCTGGATGGGACTCTTCAGACTCTGACAATGCAGCTCCTTAGTCGTTTGCTGGAGTCCAAGCGCTAAGCCAGGCATTATCCATCACTTGCAGAGCATGCAGCTTCCACAGAATCTTCTGCCTCTGCTAGCGCAGAGACTAGCTCCTGGATGCCTTCTCAGCAGTGCCCTTGCTATCACTAGGTCACCCCAAGGTTTGATGCTTTGTTTACAGTACTTTCTTTCATTTTAAACACCTATATTTCCTTTGAATTTAAATCATACGGGAGCTGCCATTTTCTACATCCACCCTCCAACCAAGCAAGTCAAAATCCACCCAAGTCCCAAGACATACCTGCATCCCTGCTAGAGCATGTTGGGCCAACTTCACGTTCTTTGATTCCAAAGCCAGCTGCAGTGGGAGGAGACACTTCTCCCTAGAAAAAGGAGAGGAAAATAGTGCTCAGAAACTGGCAATCACAAAAAACACAGCCTTCTGGATTTTCCTCACTTTAAACAGGGTCAAACTCCAACAATCACTGAGCAGAACTTAACACCAAACAGCTGCAATGTGATTATTTATCTTCCCAAAGAAAACAACACAGTGGTTTTCCAAAATTTTCAAAGAAGCATTCCTCAAGAGAAACAGCCACTTATGGACCCACTTCCCAAGCAGCTTGGTCCTTAAAATGTCTCATTTTGTGCAACACAAACATGTGATTTGCAAACCACTCATGGACCTATAGCACAGTTTGAGAAGCACTGTGCATCAGTCACTTGTCTTCGGTTTACTAGTCAAGTTGCAGAAGCGGATACCAAGTTCCACATTCACCTTCTGTGGAACTAGCTTTGCTCCATGCCTTGTGTACAGTACAATTTGAAATCATGTGTTAACTAAGCCGAAAGTAATTTGTGCAAAGAACAAACATTAAAGGATAGGGTTTACAATGAGTTAATTAACACATTTTAAAAACACAATTACAAAATATACTTGGACTGTAGAATGCAGCAAGCTTTTGCATATTAAAAGATACCGGGAGTTAGGATGGTCACAAGTAGGTCCATAAGCACTGGAGACTTGGATTAAAATTCTGACTTAAGATACAAATAAAAATGAGGTTCGTGGACCAGTCAATGTACACTTGCTCGTCTCACAAATCCTCTCACACAATAATCTGGCTGAAGAGAGGCCCTGAATTGGAATAACTGAAACTACTGCAGCTTGTGATTGAGACATATTAGCAGAGCTAACTCGGGAATGCTTATAAAGCACCTTCCTACACCATGTCAATCTCTAACCAAAACGGCAGTTCACAAATGAAATGAGTGTGGTGGTCTCAGCCTAAATTATATAAGTAACCGTGTGTCTGTTTTTGGGAGGCCAACTTGAAACCCTTTAAAGGGATCTGTTTTGTAGAAAATACTGAGTCCCTGCCCCTGAAAATCAGGTCCCTTTAAGGGGTATCCAGTTGGGCATCCAAAAATCAAGGCACTCAAAATCACAAGTCACTTTTCAAAACATAGGCCCTTGTCGTTAGTGCCAATTAAAAACCTTGCCGCAAAGACCAAGGCTACCAACATAACACGATTTAGCAAAAAAGTAAAAGAGTGAACTCATGTAATTGCAAAGCTTGTTTGGGAACTCACAGGACTTCCCATACTCTTTCCCGAATTGATGCAAATTTACAAAACTCCACCTAACATATCTTGCGGCAGCACAAACATCAGTAGGTGGAATTCTTGCTTTTTATTTTTAAATTGGAATAGAATTTGCACGTATATTCAATCAGCTATTTAACTGAAAATTACCAATATGCCTGGCTTAGGATGCTTAGAAGAACAAACATGCAGAAAGTGTACCTATTTCAGAAGCTCCTCAAATGTTTCTGGAACATATTTAGCTAAAATGACTCTTTGTAAGCATTAGCCGCAGCATCCAAAGCTGTGTGAACAGTGCAACACATGGGAAAGAGCTCTGTTGAGTGTTGTAGACCTGAGACTGGAAATCCAAAGCAGAGAGAACCCACACAAAAAAAAATCGATTCAAGGTTTTACACAATAACCTGTTTGTAACCTACACGTCATGGGGGCATGTGGATTACCCGTGCATGCTGGGGCAGGAGGACACTTTGGGAGATTACGGAGATGCATGGTGAAACTACTCCTATCCAGTACACATACAGATTTTTTTACAGTATCTGATATTCCGAGACTTGGACGCACTCAAAATGTTGCTTTCTTTTGTTCTTCTATTTTTTTTTTTTAAAACAAAATATCACAGCTAATAGGCCAGCCAATACTTCCCATTGGCTGCTGAATCCCGGTTTTGTAATTGTTTATGTGACCAACTGGTAGCAATTTTGGCTGTCCCATTTTGGCTGCTGAATCCCGGTTTTGTAATTGTTTATGTGACCAACTGGTAGCAATTTTGGCTGTCCCATTTTGGCTGCTGAATCCCGGTTTTGTAATTGTTTATGTGACCAACTGGTAGCAATCAAGGTCGCTGTGCATGAACTCATGTAAACACGCATTTAGAAGTGAACCACACAAAAAGTATATTTTAAGTGCAGTCACTGTGGTGTGTTAAAAAGGTCCCACTTATTTAAACTGTAAGTCTTTAGGGCAGGGACTGTCTTCCACCCTATGCAATATGTACAGTGCCTAACACAATAGAGCTGTCAGAGCTACAGGCACTACTGCAGTTCAAACAACAAATATTAATAGGTGGGACATACTAAAATAATAAATATGTCCGATGTTTGCTAACATGGACTGAGAAACGGGGGTCGGGAGGGCAGTCATAACCCAATGGAACTGAGCCAGCTGACGTTCATTACGATGCAAATGGCCTAGAGCCTTTATGGCTGGCTCACTGTAGAATTACCACGCAGTTCAGCACAGTGCCCAGCATCTGCAGCTAGAGACTGCAACTGATAAAGAATGAAAGTGATTTCTTGATACATCATCCCAAACTGAGCACAAAATGACAACAGGAGGATGGAAATGAGAACAGATTCAATTAGATGAACTTCCCAGCTTTGCTAAAAATGTTTAACTGAAGATCTGCTTAATACTGCAGCAATCTCCTTTCCCATTACATTCTCTGAGAAAATGAGCTGCCACTGTGTCATTTCCTGTTTTTGTTACAATCTCCGTCAATAAGATCTTTATTATCTCCTTGCTACGGTCATAAAGCACCTACAGATATCCTGCCAAGACTGGACTCACTGAATATTCCAATACTTCGACCTGCATTTTAAGCACAAAACTTAGCAGCATCAGTGTACAAAGAGCTAGTCCTGGGACGAGTAGGTAAGCTAACACAATATGTCACTACTGCACGTCCATCACTTTTAATAGTTGATCTTAGTGGGGCTGGAGAGGGTGTAAGTCAGGGTAGAATTTTGCCCCAGAATTTTGCTTTTTGCTTAGAAAATGAGAGAGATGGGGGGGAAAAAGAAAAAAAAAGTCTCAGGATCACACCTTCTGGTCCCTGTCTGTGAACATTCCCAAACCAGTTTGGTCCAAGAGAGGCCCATGAATGGAATACCAGCCTGCGGCAAGTCAGGTATGGGATCCATTGGTGGAGCTTGCATGGCAGTTTGTAGGGGTATCCACATGCCCTCAACATTTGGAATTTAGATTGTAAAGTTTTGACTGGGATACCAAGGCTGATACTGTGTTTATCACTCACTGTCCATTTGTCCCTGTCCTCCCCACTTCCTCCTTCTGCTATCCATGACCACCTTGACTCTTCATGCTCCCACCCATCCCATAACTTCTTAGGTAATTGCACCTTGCCTTGGATGATCTCACTGGAGAATCTCTTGTCACTGGCTGCATGTCTGCAGTTCTAGGACTCTGGTGCTGCTCTGTCCCAATACTGTATGCTCTAGAATGCTATGCACAGGGGAAGCTCCAAAAAACACAGCATGAGATTTACACAAGGCAACATCTCAGAGCCATGAACGAGACTGCTTACCTTCACACAAGGGATCATCAAAGGAAGCGTGAACACTTTACTTGCTGGGGGCTCATGGGGAGAGAGGCAGTCAGAAGCTTCAGGGGGCAGAGGTGCTGTGGGAGTTAAGGAGCTGGAAGGGAGGTGGTGAGAACGAAGACAGGGAGGTAGCAGGTAGGAAGTGGAAAGCATGAAGGGAAGTCAGGGAGTGAAGGGAAGGACTTCGAAGCCTAAGGAAGTTGCAGGTGGACAAGGAAATGGGAAGAGATAGACATAAATGATGTTCAGCCTGTGCATCTTTAATATTTGTGTTCCTAAGCAGAGCCAAACAGTGTGAGGTTCATGGTACCATTAATCACGTCTACACGCATTCATAGAGTTTCACACAGTGTCATCCTCAAGCTAGCGCTATTAGCCACTTGCTCACAAGAGTGCCAGAGCCACTCTCAAATTAAAAAGGAAGAAAGGTAGAAAGAGTGAATGCCCTGATTCAGCACAGCCTCCTGGCAGTGGTGTTCTTTCCCAGCTAGAGAAGAGAGGATAACGAGAGCTCCCTTAGTGTTGTCGCCATGGGAGGTATAAGGTCACATTACACGCTGAGCAGGATTTAGTGTGACTCACTGCAGAATAACGTTACCCATGAGCAGTGTTTCAGCAGAGAGCACAACGGTACTTACAGAAACAACAGTGAAACCAGACAGCCTTCCTAGCCATGCTGCTCCCTTTTCATAGCTGGGGGAACAGTAATAATGAATGTATTATGCTGCCAGACCATTTTTTTTTTATGCAAGAAAAAAAGACACCCCAGTGCAGACCATACTTACTGGATCTTCACAACTCTAGATTAAAAATAACAGCAACTTGCACGTAGGGGATCTTAATCAGAGGATCTCAACACTCTTTGCAAAGGTGAACCTTATTGTCCCTATTTCACAGATGGGGTAACTAAAGGAAGATCCAACCCTGCTCCTATTGAAGTCAATGAGAGTTTTGCCACTGACTTCATTGGCACCAGGATTGAATCATAATAAGCAACTTGCCCAAGGTCACAAAGCAATTCAATGACAGAACCAAGAATATAAGCTCGGAGCAATGTCTCCCAGTCCCTAGTTTTAACTAGAAGCACGTGTTACCCCTCAGGAGATGTTGTTTCATGCAGCTGTGGACTATTCCATTGTTGTTGTTAACTTGTTAGACTGCAGAATGCATTATTCGAATGTACAGGTCACTTACATTCAGCACACTGGGATACAATGACCTTTAATTGTGCTGGTAATGACTTGTCTATCTACCCTTCAGGTCCAAGAACCTGTCACTAGTGTAGGATAGTATGGCCAGCCAATCAAAACACAGAATACTAGAAAGATCCAAACAAGACAGCTGACTATTATAAATAAGAGATTATGAAGATCCTGCTACCTCATCCTAGTGGAAAAAGACTTTGAATTAATGAGCCATTATTCTCTTCTCATTAAT